GAGGAATTCAGGGCTGGGAGAGGAGGCCACAGCCATCCAAGGCACAGGAACAATCACCTGCGAATGGAACGCTCGGGCTTTTCCCTTGAGAAAAGGGGGACCGGCCGGGATGTCAGCCCGAGCCCCGGAGCAGCGCGGCCCCACAGTGCGGAGCGCTGCCCCATTGTTTGATCTGGCTGTGAGACAGATTAGCAGCCCCAGGTGGAAAGTCAGAATCTGCATTTAAATGGGCCGCTTATAAAAGGTGGGGAGCGCAGGAGCCCGCAGCATTATGCGGTGTCTTTAGCACGCCCTAATCTCTCTTTATTTTCTCCGCAGCCTGACCTGGGGGCACAGTTTCTAATTACCAGGTCACCCTGCTAATATTGTCATTTCCAGCCAGTGGGTGTGAAACCATGGCAACGCCACATTTGCTTCCAAGTTTCTCCAGGAATAAAATTTGCCTTTTAATCACAGAAAAATGACTGGGCGGCTCCCCGCTCCCCCCCGCCCGAGCTGCTCGGCGCTGCTGGAATTCGTTCTTGGGCCTTTTCAAAGGTGTTTCCAGGGGGGAGCTTTGGGAAGCTTCACTTGGAGCTCTGGCGAAGATGAGGGACAAACCTGGGAGGCTCCACGAGGTTTGGATCCCAAAGCTTCCCTAAATGTAATTATGGGATTTTTTTTGGGTGGGAAGGGACCTTAAATCCCATCCATTCCCACCTTCCCCATCCCAGGTTGCTCCTGGGACACTTCCAGGGATGGGGCAGCTCCAGCTTTTCTGGGAATTCTCTTCCAGAGCCTCTCCACTCTCGCAGTAAAACTCCGTGTTTTCTTTTTTTAGGATGATTTTTAGCTTTAAAAGTTGTGAGCGAGCTGCTAAAAGAGGGAGCAGAGGGTGTCAGACATCCCGAGCTCCAGGGATGTCCTGGTCACCCTGGGACTGACCACTGGGATGGTGACTCCAGCTGATGGAATTCACCTCCCAAACTGGGAAAAAACCCACGGGGAATGAGGAAATAACGGGGCTGGTGAGATGGGTGCACCCCGTGCTCTGTGTTTGTCATTCCTGAGGCATCTCTGGCAGTTTGGGGCTTCAAAATCCGCATTTTCCTCTCCCCCAGCTGCTAAATCCGAGGTGTGCTTTGTCTCCTTGATGCAAAACTTGCTTGGGGTGAGCCTGAAAAGCCGCCGAGCTCCTGGAGCTGATTTCCAGCTCCCAAGGGCTGGGCTGGCATTCCCATGGGACACCTGGTGAAATCTGCTCCGATATTGGGAGAAATTCAGGTCAGCCCTGAGCTGAAAGCGCCCCTGGGACCTTCCCTGGCTCTGCTCGGGACCTTCCCTGGTTTCCAGGGCAGTTTCTCACTCTCCAAAAGTGAAACTCCCACTCCAAGTGAGTCAGACGAGAGCTGGAATCCCATTTTAAGGTGATTTTCCAGCTGACAGGAGTAGGTTAATTGTAAACTGTCTACTGAAGCTTTAAAACTCCTGTCCAGCCTTATTATTAGCAGCTGAAAATTTATGGAGCGAGACTCTGCGTGGTGATAGCTGGGCTCTGCCCAGACGAGGTGTGTAATTAATCCCCACGCTGGCAGCAGGAAAATCAGATGTAAAACTGTATTTTTTTTCCTTTTTTATTTATTTATTTTTTTCTTTTCTTTTCTGACACATCTGGGAGGGAACAGAAACCCTGTCCTACCTGTGCTGGGCTGGAGAACCCCGTCAGAGCTGTCACCTCGGGGACTCAGGGTTAAATCCTTCCCAGCTGTGAGAAATTCTGCTGTGGGGGCTCATCAGTCCCTGAATTTGGGATTTTGGGTGGTGGGTCTGGACCTTGTGGGGTGCAGATCCACATGAGGATTTTCCCCTGAAATTAGGATTTTAGGTGGTGGATCTGAACACTGCAGGGTGCAGATCCCCAAGGGGCTTTTCCCCCTAAAATTGAGATTTCGGGTGGTGGATATGGACTCTGCAGGGTGCAGATCCCCAAGAGGATTTTCCCCTGAAATTGGGATTTTGGGTGGTGGGTCTGGACTGTGAAGGGTCCAAATCGTCATGGGATTTTCCCCTGAAATTGGGATTTTGGGTGGTGGATATGGACTCTGCAGGGTGCAGATCCCCAAGAGAATTTTCCCCTGAAATTGGCATTTTGGGTGGTGGATATGGACTCTGCAGGATGCAGATTTCCAAGGGGTTTTCCCCTTAAAACTGGGGTATTGGATAGGGGATCCTGGGAATTCTGGGCTCTGTGGGATGCCTTGGAGCTGGGTGTGGGGGGATGACCCATCCCTGCTCCCGAGGGGTTCGTTCTTCACTGGAGGGAGCTTTGCAGGAGGGTTTTGGGGGAGCCTTTTCCTCCCCTCCCATTGTTGGTGTCGGCTCGATGGGTGACAGCTGGGGGTGGCAGAGGGGACAGCAGTGTCCCTGTGTCCTGCAGCCCTGCACGGAGCACCCGTGGCAGTTTCCCAGGCACCGAGCTATCCCAATCCCATCCGCACCCTCATTCCCAGCCGGACAGGGGCAGGAGGTGCTAAAGGAGCTTCAGGTCTTACTTCTGGTGTTTTTCATTTCGTCCTCTCACATTCCTGGCCGCCGTTTGTGCCCCGTCTCTAAGTTCTCCTCTCTCCCCACTTTCCCCACCTTTGCAGCACGGAGCCCAAGCACTGAACCAGATTTTGCGGAGAAATGGGATTTGGGTTTTTTCCCCACCCTCTCCCGGGTGGCTGCAATTCCCTGCCGGGATCTCGAGGGAATCAAACCGCAAATGTGGGGAAACTCCGCTGCTTTCGCTTTTCCTGCTGGGAGCGGCCCCGGGAAGGGCAGAGGGAGCGCCCAGTGCCCCCGGGCTCCGCATCCCGGGCTCCGCATCCCCCTCTCCGCATCCCCCTCTCCGCATCCCCCGCTCCTCATCCCCCTCTCCGCATCCCCCTCTCCGCATTCCCCGCTCCGCATTCCCCGCTCCCATCCCCCGCTCCCGCACGGCTCCTGCGGTCTGCTCCTCTCCGGGACACAGCCCCGGCTCCCAGCCGGTGTCAGCACCAACAGCTGGCTGAAAAAAAATGCCAAAATTGCATCTCCCAAAGGGAGCAGCCGCCGCCGAGCCCGGCGAACCGGGATGTCCCGGCCGCGGGGCTGCTTGGAAACTTTCTCCCTCTTATTTGTTTTTCTCAGCGCTCATGAAAACTGGTGAAAAAACCCGGCGCTGCACAAGGGAGGGAAGCGTCGCTCTGCCCACCCCCATCCCGACTTTCTGCAGGAATTTTGGGGGGTTTTGCCGGTGTCCCCCGCCCCAGAGCCCTGCAGCGCATCTTTCCCCCGCTGCCCTGCAGCATTGCCGGAGTTCCCTGCGCTCCCCTCCCACCCTCCCCCCTGCCCCAAGCCGGGCGGATTTCCAGCCTTTTCCCCTCCCCGAGTGCTCGGAGCTGCCCCGTGTCCAGCTCGGCTTGGTCCAGTGGAGCCCCAAAAACTCCCCAAGAGCAGAGCCGGAATGGCAGGGCCAGGCTGGGTTGGAGCTTTGCTCTTTTGGGGTTTTTGTGAGGAAGAAATCCCAGGGATGCTTCTGCTAGGAAAGTGGAGCCGGCTCTGGAAAAGGGGACAGGGGAAGCTGAGCACGGCGGGGTGGGGACAGAAGTGTCCCAGGAATCCCGGTGGGATCTGCCCCGCTCCCTTTGGGGTGGGATGAGAAAGGTCCCTCCCGTGTCAGAGCCCTGCAGGGCCAGGCAATGTCTGTCCTAATTCTTGGCCCTTTTCCAGCCCATCCCACCCACTCGAGCATTTTCTGCTTCGTGGAATTGCCCGTGGCCCCACTGGAGCTCCTTCCTCACCCTAAAAGCAGGAGCTGTGTTTGTTCTGTTATCCCAAAAAGCAGCCAGGCCAAAACTTGCAGCGGGCAAAGTCCGAGTGGGGCAGTGGCAAACGCTGAGGAGAAGAAATGTCCGGGATCAAAGAGTTCCCACATGGCACAGCAGAGTGACACTGACCCCAATTAGTGCTCAGAGTTAATGAATCCCTTCGGCTGCTTGGCTGAAGTGTAAAATACTAAAATAATTCACAGAGGTGTGCAGGGTTTGTGGTGTGGCCGGGAGCTCTGGGGCTGCAGGACGGGATCAGAGGGAATTTTCCAGCCAGGAAAAGATTCCAGGGGGGATAAAATTTCCACCTGACAGCTGGAACTGGGCCCTCAGTGGGGCAGGTCAGAGCAGGAACAGCAGAGTCAGTGGGATTTGGGGACAGCTGGAGCTCAGGGGTCCCTTTGGGGTCACACCCTGACCTGGCCATCCCCAATCCCATTTATTCCCTGGCTCTGCTTTTCCAAGTGCCCCACAGCAACCCCGTGCCAGCTGCAGCTCCAGGGGGAATTTGGGACAAGTTGGGACATTCTGCAGAAGTTTTCCCAGCTGGAATCTGTGGCCTTGCAGGGTGGCCTGCACAGATTTGTGTCCCCATCGAGCTCTGAGGTGACAAAGCCAGGCCTGAGCTGCTGCAGAGCCCAGCAGGGCAGGGCTGGAGCAGGGACAGATTTGGGATGGGTTTGGCTGAGCCAGGGGGGTCATTCCTTCCCAGGGAGGGACAGGGGACACGGAACCCTGAGGATGACACAGCTCCTGCTTGGCTGGCCGGAGAATTGGGGTTTTTGGGAGGATTGCAGCAGTTTGGAAAGGATGACCTCAAAGCCCAAACCCTCGGGTTTGGGCTTTCTCAAACCCTTGGTTTGAGCTTTCTCCTCAGCTCGTGCTCAGCATCCCAAAATCCAGCAGAGCCAGCGGGATTTGGGGACAGCTGGAGCTCAGGGGTCCCTTTGGGGCCACACCCTGACCTGGCCAGTCTGGATTTGTCCCTCCCCAATCCCATTTCTTCCCTGGCTCTGCTCTTTCTGGGATGGCTGTGCTTGGTGAAAGGAGGGGGGACACCCCAACCCTCATCCATGAACCCAAACCCATCCAGCATTCCGTGTCCCCTGGAGGCTGAGAAAAAACCCTGATAACAAACCCTGAGAATAAATCCCACACCTGGGGCAGGTGGAACTTTTGATACGATGTATATTTATTGCAAACAATAATATACAAAAAAAAAAACCAAAAACAAAAAACACCAAACCAAAACAAAAAAAAAAGGTAAGTTTCACAAAGAGAAGGATCTTGTAACCAAAACCAAACCGAACTTACCTAAAGACAAAATATGATTTAAAGGACAGGTCTTTTAAGTTACAGAAATACTTTAAAAAGATCTGCTTTTATACAGAAATAGAAAGATGCCATATTATAAGAGTGCTTTAAGATTTTTTTTCTCCTACTGAATCCCTAAAAAAAAAAAGTTAACAAATATATCTTTTTTTTTTAAATAAAAAAAGTCTGCTGTCTTTTTTAAAAAGCAATCCTTAACTGTTCAGCCACAGCTTCACCAAAATCAGTGTCCCCCCCACCTCTCCCAGGCAGTTTTTGGGGGGGTTGAAGGCTAAAACGGTGCCACCCCTGCAGCAGGGCTGGGGTGTGGGGCTCGTCCTTGCACGAGCTCGTGTGTCCCAGAGAGCTGAGGCAGGAAACAAGGCAAATGATTCAGTGATCCGCTACATTTGCAATCTTTAGTTTGTACAAATCTCATTTTTCTTTTTTTTTTTTTCTTCCAGTTTCTCCTCGAAGGAAAAAGAAAAAAAAAATAAAACCTCAAACAAAACAAAAAAAAAAAAAAAAAGAAGAGCACAAAGTTTGTACAAACCCAGGACACAGATTCCAAAAAAAGAATAATAATAATAATAATAACAACAACCAAAAGGAATTAAAGAGATAAATAAAGGACTGGTTACAGTTTCAGACCATAATTTAACAGGCACGGTCACCTTCCAAATAATGCTCCCAACTAATGCAACGCTTCTGAAACGCCTTGGAGGGGAGATTAAAACAACAAAACCCAAGGGAAATGGTGATTAAAAGCTGCTCTTCTCCCCAAATAAATAATTTAAAGGATCTGGGAGGGCTCCCAGCAGAGGGGAGCCCCTGGCTGGGTTTGGCACCCTGGGGTGGGCAGGGGGTGCCCGGAGGGGTCGGGCTCAGCCCCAGCCCGGAGCCAGTGATTATCACGGGGCTGCTTTAAGGCTTCCAGCAGCACTTGGGGGCTGCTCTGTGGATTTTTAATTTTTTTTTTCCTCTTTTTTGTTTTTCTTTTAAGGCTCAAGGTTATTAAAAAATAAAGTGAAGTTCTCCTCCTGGCTGGTTTTGCTACGAGTTAGAAAAATAAAGCCTCTCCCATGCTGGTGCCTGCCCCGGAGCTGGGTTCCCAGGGCAGAGCACGCTGGTTTAGTTTCATTTTTAGAGCAAAAAAGACACTTCTCTATACAAAAATACCTCTGCAAGAAAACCTAGGGCTGCTCCACTAAGTGTCATTTCTGTTTTTTTAGCTGTTGGAAAAATAAGAGCATTTGAAAAAAATCTCTAAAAAATAGGTATAAATCCCCTCAAATTGGTAACGAATCATACACAGTACATACTAAAAATATTTAAAATAGAGAATATTCCTCACAGAGGACTCTGAGTTTTCTCTTTTACCCCCCCTTTTTTTTTTCTTCTTTTTTTTATTTTTTTTGTCTTGCTTTTAATTACTGCTAAAAAAAAAAAAAAATCATTACAAAAGTCCAGAGAAGGAGCCAGCTGGGCGGGTTGGGTGGAAATCTCCTCTCCACGCTGGAAGAAGCAGAGTTCAAGTCCAGTCCTTGGCAAGTCTGTCCCAAATTTTGGGGCTGGGAGCAGGTCCTGGAGGATGCTGTAGTGCAGAAGGCTCGAGGCGCTCTCTCCTCCCCGCCAGCTTCCACTGTGAGCGTCTTTTGAATTCTCATTTCAATTTCAAACACCGAACCAGTCCGAGGCAGCTCGTCCTCGCTGCTTTCGCGCTTTGCTGATTTTTTTTCTTTTTTTTTTGTTTTTTCTAATTTTTTCCTCACTTTCCTGCCTTTTTTTTTGTTTTTTTTTTTAAATTTATTTTATTTTTTGTCACGCCTGCCTCCCTCTTAGGGCCGGGTGAGCTGCGTGTAGACGGGCTGCTCCCAGTGCTGCGGGCTGTGGGTCTGGGGGATGGAGGGCACCCCGGCCGTGTCGGCGATGGGGGTGTACATGGGGCGCTGCGTGGGGCTCATGTAGCTGAAGGTGGAGTAGATGCCGCTGCCCTGCCCGGCGTGGCTGTAGTAGGAGCCCGAGGAGCCCTGGTGCTCGCCGTACTCGTACTGCGCGCGGCTGATGCTGGGGTAGGACGAGCCGTAGTGCTGCAGGTTGAAGGAGCTGTAGCTCAGCTGCTGCTGCTGCTGCTGCTGCTGCGGGGAGTGCTGCTGCTGCTCGCTGTAGTGGCTGGGGCTCAGCTGCTCCGTCTTGATGTGCGTCCTTTGCTGCTGCTGCTGCTGCTGCGGGCCCTGCTCGGTGCCCAGCGCTGGCTGCTGCTGCTTGGCCATCCAGACGCCCGCCGGCGTGCCCGCGGCGCCGCTGATGCCGTAGCTGCCCGTGTAGGTGACCTGGCCGGGCTGCCCCGGGTGCCCGTTGGGTGGAAGGTACTGGTCGAACTCGTTGACGTCGAAGGTCTCGATGTTGGAGATGACATCGCTGCTGAGCTCGCCGATGTCCACGTCGCGGAAGTCGATGTGCGGCGGCTGCCGGCCGCCCTCGCCCAGCGCCCGCGCCTCCCGCTTCAGGTCCTGCTTGCCCGGCTGCGGGTCCGTCTTGGGCGTGGTGGGCGGCGTGGGGGGCCCCTGCGACTGGCCTGGGGGAGGAAGGAGAGGGGTGAAGGTGTGGCAGGGGTGGCCGGGGCACACGCGCCTCCAGGTGTCCCAGCCCTCAGACCCTGGCTGGTGTGGGGCGGTTTCCTGGGCTTTAAAAAGCGTGGGTTTGTGTTTCCCACGGGCAAACGGTTTCCTGGGCTTTAAAAAGCGTGGGTTTGTGTTTCCCACGGGCAAACGGGGGGAGGATGTGGCTGCAGTGGCACGCTGGGGTGAGATTCGCGTGCCCAGGCGCTGGGCACAGCTCAGGGGTACTTCTCCCCCTTCTCACTCCGTTCCCGGCTCTCTGCTCTCCCTCCCCTCACCCAGCCCCACCGTCAGCCCGGTTTGGGCTGCAGCTTCGGCAGCTGTGCCGTGCCCCCCGCAGGCTCCGTGGGTACCCACCCGAGTGCTCCCCGGGCGAGTGCACCTCGCTGATGCTGGAGGAGGACTGCGGCGAGTCTGCCTGCAGCGCCTTGAAGATGGCGTTGGGGGAGATGTGGGTCTGCTCCGCGCCCTCCTCCTGCTCCGCCTGCCCGTTCTTCACCGACTTCCTCCGCCGGGGCTGGTACTTGTAGTCGGGGTGGTCCTTCTTGTGCTGCACCCGCAGCCGCTCGGCCTCCTCCACGAACGGGCGCTTCTCGCTCTCGTTCAGCAGCCTGGGGGGACACGGGGGGCGCGGGGTCACTCGTGGCTCAGGGGGGGCGCCGGGCAGTGACACCGGTGCCGATCCCTCCCTCGCAGAAGAGCGATGCAAAGCCCCCCACAACCTGAAGCCCCCGCCCGGGACACTCGCTGGTTGTCACCCCTTTGTCCCCGGCACTCCGCGGTTGTCACCCGCTTGTCCCGCAGATTCCTTGGGCAGCCAGACCAGAGCTGCAGCGGGGTCCAGCCCTCCCCACGCTGCGGGCACATCCCGCTGTCCCCGGGCGCTCTGGGGACATCCCTGCGTGCCAGGGCCAGCTTTCCTGCGCCGTGTCACCGCTGTAGGATCCCCCGCCCCCCGCGCAGTCCCCGAGGACGCGGTGGCCCAGGTGACTCACTCGCCTCGTGTTTTCCTCCCTTCCCCGCCTTATTCTGGCACTCGGAGGCCACCCGGCCCTGCGCCACTCACCGCCACCACCCTCCCTCCGTCCCTCCCCGCATCGCCCCGCGCTCCTCCGGCCCGGCCCGAGCTGATGCAATCCCCAAAATCCATCATTTCCTCCGCACCGGCAGCGCAAACAAACAGCGGCCGGGGCAGCCCGGGGGGCTCCGCGAACAGAAACCACTTCCAACGCCACAAGGAATTTCCCCCTTTCCCCTACTTTCCCCCCTCCTATTGTGGCTTCTCCCCGAGCTAACAAGTTTTGCACGCTGCAGAAGTTTCCCGCATCCTCTCCGCGGGCGCAGCGCGCTCCGCATCCCCCGCTGGCCGCGGGCATCCCGGCCCCGCACTCACCTCCAGAGCTTGCCCAGGGTCTTGCTGAGCTCGGCGTTGTGCAGATGCGGGTACTGGTCCGCCAGCTTCCTGCGGGCCGCCTGCGCCCACACCATGAAGGCGTTCATGGGTCTCTTGACGTGCGGCTTGTTCTTGCTGGAGCCGTTCACCCGCACCGGCATCGGCACCAGGGTCCAGTCGTAGCCCTTCAGCACCTGGCTCACCGCCTCCCGGATGCACACCGGGAACTTGTCCTCGTCGTTCTCCTTCTTCAGGTCCGGGTCCCCCTTGGGGAAGGTGTTCTCTTGGGGTCTGGTGTTCTCCGTGTCCGAGCCGGATCCAGAGGGGCAGGGGGACCCGGCGGAGTCATCCGACATGGTGGGGCTGGGGGCGTCGGAGATACATTTGTCCTGTTCTTCTGTCATTTTCATGAAAGGGTCGAGGAGATTCATGCGAGAAAGTGGCCGAGGGGGGAACAACGGGGCGAAAAAAAAAATTAACAATAAAAAAATATAAAAAAGTTAGGCGCTAAGGGGCAGGGACGGGTTCAAAAAGTAAAAACTCGGAGAAACAAAGTCTCCACCGGCGGCGGAGAGGACGGGGAAGAACAGCGAGAAGTGCGCAAAAAACAACAAAACAACAACTTTTAATGACTTCTCCTCAGCACAAAAACGCCAAAAAAAAAAAAAAATTACAAAAAGTAAGAAGACCAAAAAAGTCCGGAGCGAGGAGAGGGAGAAGCTTTGGCGAGGCGGAGGGAAGGAGAAGGAGCGGGGAGGGCCGGGGCAGAGTCGGGCGCGGCGGCCCCGCCGGTCTCCAGCGCGGCTCTGCGCCCGCCGCGCGCCGCGCGCACAAATACCCAGCGCGGGGCCGCGCGCCGCCCGCGCCGCCCAATCACCGCGCGGCCCGCGGGGGCCGCTCCGCCCCCATTGGCTGAGCCGCGCGGGGAGGGGGCGGGGCCGCGCAGCGCCGCGCGGCGCGGGGGGCACGGCCCGGACGGGGCGGGACGCGGGACACGGGACACGGGACACGGGACACGGGACACGGGACGGGCGGCGGCGACAGCGACAGCGACAGCGGCGACAGCGGCCGGCGGTGCCCCGCGGCTCCCCGCGGCCGGTCAGGGGCTCCCCGCGGATGGCCCCGGCGGGGCCGCTGCGGCCGCGCTGGCGGCGGGCGGGACGCGCGGAGCGGAGCGCGCCGGGGCCGCGGGCGCTGCGCGGCTCCGTCCCGAGGGGGCGCCAGAGGCTCAGGAACGGCGCGCGGGGGCGGCGGGGCCGGGCCGGGCCGGGCCGGGCCGGGCGCGCCCCCCGAACCCCCCCGGGACCGCGGGCACCGAGCGGGGGCGGCCTCGGGGCTGCGGCCCCGCACACCCCAAAGTCGCTGCTGCGCTTTCGCTTTTTCTCCTCTTAAAACTTTTCCCCTTTTTTTTCTTTTTTTTTTCTTTCTTTTTTCTTCTTTCTTTTTGCTTTTTGGATGGGGTGTCCGGCGCGTCCCTCCGCCCGCCCCGTGCTGCGACATCCGCGCGTTCCCCGTTTATTCCTCTTTTTATGGTTATTCCCCATCCCGCTGGCCCCGGCGCGGTTTTCCCCGCGCAGGACCGGGCTGCTGGACCATCATCCCGGTTCCCCATCCCGGCCCCGCATCCCGGTTCTTCATCCTGATCCCTCGTCCCAGTCCCAGATCTCGGTTCCTCATCCCAATTCCTCATCCCGATCCCACATCCCGGTCCCACATCCCAGTCCCGCATCCCGGTCCCGCATCCTGGTTCCCCATCCCGGTTCCCGATCCCGGTCCCGCATCCCGGCCTGGAGCGGTGCCCGGGGAAGGAGCGGCCTCTTCCCTCCCTCTCTGCACAAAAATAAAAGTTTTGCCGAGCTGCTCAGTGTCTGAACGCAGGGCCGGGAGCTGCCCGGGGTTATTGGTGGGTAACTGCGGCTCTTTCCCTTCACAGAAACATCCCGGCCTTTACCGGAGTCGCGTCTGTAGCCGGAGCGGCTTCCCGGAGCGGCTCCGAGCGACCCCGGGGCCGGCACTGCAATCCCCATCCCGGTGGGCAGGAAAGATCCCGGATTTTCAGCTTCCAGGAGAAGGGATTTGGTGGGAGCTGCCCAAAACGCTGCACCCCTTCCCACCTCCCTCCTTGTCCCCTCAGCGCCTTTCGGGGGCAGAAACCTCCGGGCTCCGCTCCTTTCCCAAAGGCCGAGCCCAGAATTTTTCGCTGCAATTCGAGCGTTAAAGTTGGGGCTTTCTGGGAGCCGCTTTCATTTGCTGCTTTCATTTGCAGCCTTTGTGCGGCCGGACAATCCTCGGGGCAGCGGCCGCCTCCGTGCCCTGTCGCGATTGTCATCGTCACCCTGACCACGGGGGTTTCAAGGTATTGGAAAGGACATGTGAAAAAAAAAAAAAAAAAAAAAGAAAAAGAATTAAAAAAAAAAAAATATAAAATGTAAAGAAAAGGACAAGGCAGCGGGGAAGGAGCTGGGAATAAACACACTCAAAACCTTCTCCTTGGTTGTTTTAGTTTTCCCTGAGGTTCTGGTGATGTTTTTGGGTTGGTTTTTACTTTTTTTTTTTTTTTTTTGCACTTGCAAACTTTTTTGGGAAGTAGTTTTGCTCTGGGTGAGTTTAAAGGTAAGTGGCTGTGCTCTGCTCCAGAGCCTTTGTCTGCAGGAAGAGGGGCAATGCGAGCACAGCAGGGCTTTTCTCCAGGGGAATTTGGGGCTTTTTTATTCCTGAAACACCGAGGACGCTTTTCCCAGAGTTGTATTTCTTTCCTTTGCTAAATATCCAATATTCCAGGAGAGGGCCGCTGAATTTTGCGTTGTTGTTTGCGGCGAAAAAGGTAAACTTTCAGCAAATATTACAGGTGATAATTTGGATTCTTTTCCCTGATAATCTCAGCCCTAGGGTGGTGCATGCTGGAGTTTAGCTCCCCAAATCTCATTTAATAAATATATTTTGCTGCAGAACATCCAAGCAAACGCAGGCAGGAGATTGTTCTGATCTCAGAACAAAATCTGCACAAAATGTACCTGGAGAGGAGCAAAACTGGTGACAACAGATTGTCCCCTGGCCCTGCTGCTGATTGGCAGAAACAACAGCGGGACAATTCGGGAGGGTCATGGATTGAGTGGAAAGGGTCATAATTAGGACATTTTTCATCCTGCAAATCCATCTGCTGGAAGGGGCTCTGCCTTCCCTGCTCGGCTGCTCGGAGCGAGGCGAGGGGCTTGACAAGTTTGAACAATAAACAAAAGCGAAAGGGGAAGGAGCTCTGCAGTTATTGTGTGTGATTTGATAATTTCTGGCTTATTATTTTTAATTATTGCTCGATGGACTATTTGGACAAGGTGGACAAGCTGATTAATCACAGCCGGGTGGAAGCTGCCTCTGAGAGCTGCTGCTGCTGTTTTCCCGTCAGGATGGAAGTTTTCCTTTCCTTTTTTTCTGGAATTAACATTGTTTTATCCAGCTCAGGGAGCAGGGCAGGTTTTTAGTGAGGATTAAAGCCCCCGTTTGATGGGTTTTTCCTGCTCCTTGTGCTAAATTAATCCCTGTTTTTTAGGGAATAACCTTTCCAAGTGTTAGTGCAGGGAGTGGAGGAGACGGGAATTTTGGGAGCGGAGGGAACAGACCCGGGGGGTGGATTTGGGGAGGTTTTTCTGTCCATATTTAAAATATGGTTGTGCTTCAGAAATTGTTTTGTGGATTTTTGGGGGAGCCCCTTTGATGCTGGGGACGCTCAGGCTCTGCTCTGAGCCCTGGGATTTGGGATTGGTGTTGGGAAAGTTCAGGATTTGAGGTTGGTGTTGGGAAGGTTCAGGCTCTGCTCTGATTCCAGGGATTTGGGGTTGCTGTTGGGAAGGTTCAGGATTTGGGGTTGGTGTTGGGAAGGTTCAGGATTTGGGGTTGGTCTCGGGAAGGTTCAGGATTTGGGGTTGGTCTCGGGAAGGTTCAGGATTTGGGGTTGGTCTCGGGAAGGTTCAGGATTTGGGGTTGCTGTAGGGAAGGTTCAGGATTTGGGGTTGGTGTTGGGAAGGTTCAGGATTTGGGGTTGCTGTTGGGAAGGTTCAGGCTCTCTCTGACCCCCAGGATTTGGGGTTGGGAATGTTTCCCCAGGGGTGCTGCGATGTCACCGTGTCCCCTCTGGGCTCACCCAGGCCAGCGGGGCCTCTGCCCTGCCAGAAATCCAAGGAGAAGCTGCAGATCCTGGGAAACGTTCCCTGCTCCTGCTGTGCAGTGAGGGAAAACCGGGAGGCTTCGGGCTGTGGAGCAATTCCCTAAAACCGGAGGCGCTCCTGCAGTGAACTCTGACTTTTCATATCAAAACTGGGTCAATTATTGATCCATGGCTCAAAAAGTGAAATTCCAGGTGTGACTGTTCCTTTGGATCTATCCAGGAATGTTTGCTCCAGTGTTTTCAGATGCAGGGCTGGTTCAGCTCTGTTAATTGCAGCTTAATTAATATAAAAATTAAAAATCCCCCACCTTATCAGTGACATTTTATTAAATCTGAGAGCGGGGCTGCATCCCACAGAAATATTCCCACATTTTGGCTTCTCCCTCTTTACTGTGAGCAGGGAAGGCTCAGCGTGTCCTTGGTTTTCCCAGGAATTTCAGCTTTTCCTTGATTTTCCCCTTTTCCCAGGGATCCCACATGGTGCCATTGCAGGTGTAAAATGCCACGGATTTCCCTCTATCCCAAATATTCCCGGGGCAGGGCTGGAATTTGTGCTCTGGGTTTTGGTGGGATCCCAGGACATGGGGTTGGTGTGGAGTTCCTCGATCCCATTTCCTATTCCAGCTGATCCAGTGGAATAAAACAGGAGATCAGGGCAGGAGCTGAGGGGGGCGGCCTTGGGGCCTTTAATTGGAAATTAATTCCTTAAAGAATTGCCTTTACATTTGTAATTTCAGCTCCGAATTCATTTGGATCAGCCAAATCTTCTAAATTCAACCGAGAATTCCTAGTGATTTGATTCATTTTGCAAATTCAACTAAGAATTCTTTGAGATCAGTTTAATTTTGTAAATTCAGCTCAGAATTACTTGAAATTTTATTCACTTCATAAATTTAGCTGAGAATTCCTTGGGATTTTATTAATTTTGTAAATTCAGATGAGAATTCCTTGGAATTTTATTAATTTTGTAAATTCAGATGAGAATTCCTTGGGATTTTATGACTTTTTAAATTCAGCTGCGAATTCCTTGGGATTTTATTAACTTCGTAAATTTAGCTGAGAATTCCTTGGGATTTTATGAATTTTTAAATCCAGCTGAGAATTCCTTGGGATGTTATGAATTTTTAAAGTTCTGTTTCTCTGGCCTCCCAGAATTATAATCAGCCCTGCTGCACCTTGAGCTGCAGACAGCAGGGTGTGATTGAAGCTTGGCAAATCCTGGCAATGCCTGAAAAAACAGGAATTTCCCCCCTCTTTTTGAATATATAAAATAACAGCAGCCTGAAGACTGCAAAATTCATTTTTAATTTATGCCTAAAAACACCATCGGGAGGGACTCGCTCTGGGGAATAAAGTGAAGGAAATTCTGGAATTTTGGGTGAATAATCCCAGTCCTGGGGTGAAATGATCCTGATTATTTCCGAGCTGGAATAGTGGGATTCATTTCCCACTTACAAAATCATCCCAAAAAGGCAAAGCTGGGGAGGAATTGGGATTAGGGTGAGACTGGAGGCAGCAGTGAAGGAACTGGGAGCAGGGAAAAGCTGTTTGTCCCTGGAAAAAAAGGTTGGGAAGCGCTAAAAAAAGAGGAGAATCCAAGGAAAAAGAGAGGAAAAATTGGGATTTTTAGCTTTGCTGACAGAAATCCCGGTG